TGACTGGGCCTGATCGCTTGGCTGTCCTGCAGCCAGGTTAGCGACCCCATGCCAAAGGCTGGAGTGGCTTGCAGATGGAGGCACTGGGAGCTCTTGGTGGCTGTGCTGTCTGCTCTGGGTCCCTCAGGGCTAGGTCCTCCAGGACTGTCCAGCGCACCACACCAGTGGCGGTGGGAGGGTCTGCAGCCTGGCCCAGAGCGGGGACGCTGGCTTAAAGCATTGTGGGTTTTTCTGGAGTAAGGCCATATGTACACGGGGAGTCACTCAGTACCGGAAGGCAAAAACTCAATAGCTTTTAGGAAAGGCAATGGAAGTACAGAAGAGCTACTTATAACATCAGTAAGGGAAAATAAAAGGGAACTCTTCAAATTCCAGGGATGAAATCCTGAAGTTTATCAAGTTATAGTTCTATTGTTATAATAATATCTTTCCTGATGAGTTATCTTTTATAGATCTCTTTGGCTAATACTCTAAACCATATAGTGATTCAGGTACGCTGAGGTGGACTGCGCAGTTTAAAAGCTTGCAGCTTGTAGCCTGTCAGGGCTCTGTCTGGTGCATTTAGACACATGATGGATGGTCTCTGCTTTAGTGTCATCGGATAAAACGTGTTTGTCAAGTGCATGACACATTATCTTGAGGTGCTGCATTTTTGCAGTGGCTAACACCTTGACACAATGCTATTGCTTAATAGGAGGATACGCACAATATGGACACATAGCCATATGCCACCAGGACCAGGTTTTCAGTAGGCATTTCTGGAAAAGGAACCAGTCCTGCAGGATGTCCCTGATTTAGCAAATGGGTATCACTAAAAGAGAAAAGTCTCCCTCAACTCCCTGCTCTACTAGAGAGCGAGAATTGAGTTTTGGTGGCTTTGTCTAGAAAGATTCTTTCCCACTGGGCGTACCAAGGAGGGAGTCTGTGCTGTATTTCTGCAGCAGACAGAGGTGTGGGCTGCCAGAAGTGCAGTGAAGGGACAAAGCAGGGCTCAGAGGTGAGAACCTGCTGCCAGTCAGGTATGAACACGTGAGGACATCTGAGGTCACATCGCAGTGTGCCCTTGCACAGAGGGTCTGGTTATACCACGGTGACAGAGAGCACACTGGCCACATCCTGCACCTCCACACATCCACATCCTCTCCTGCCATCCAGACTGGATGCTCATGAGAACAGAGCTGAGCCCACAAAGCCTGGCTTTTGCAATATCTCCAAATTATATCTCAGATGGAATACTCTGTGTTTTTTTTCTTCAACAGCTTTTTTTGCTAGCAAACTGGAACATGAAAGCAAACACTGCAATGGCAAGGGGTTCCAGCGGCTGGGATCCTCCGCCTTCGATCGAGTCTACACTGCCAAGTGAGTAGGCAAGCCCTGAGGAGCCGCTGAGGGCAGAGCAGGGTTTGTCTCTTTCTTCATTAGGTTATAATTGAAACTCTTTTGGGGTCCAGAATTGGGCTCAAAATGCCCTCAGATGAAGGCTTTGCTCTGCAGCCTCACTGCTCCATGCATGTCTGTGATGTTTAGACCTGTGGTTTTCCTGTATGTGTATTGGTGAACCCAGCTCCTTTCTGTACACTGGCTGCTGTATTTATATTGGACCAGCAGCCCTTTCATTTGGGATCCCATTTGCCCAGCAGTAGCTAACGCTGGCAGTATGATACAAGCACAGGCGGCATCCCAAGGGCACTGCAGCTCAAAAGGAAAGAGTCAGCGGAGAGACGCTGGCTTGCTGAGGAGTGGGTTGGTGGCAGAGCTCGCACAAACCCCTCAGTCCCCAGGTGGCTCCCTTGGCACACAGCACTCTGCTTCTCCACCAGGAGGATCCTCTTGCCTTTGACATCCCTTCAGAGAGAACAGAGGGGAAGATTAGTTCCAACCCGGAGGGGAAGATTAGTTCCAACCCAGAAGTGAAAAGAACATAAAATATTTTTTATTACCCATGAAGTACTGACAGTGTGTTTGAAACTGGATGGGATGTCCAAGCACTGCCCTTCACAGGTGTGCAACGTCTGCCAAGGGCAGAGTGCTTCCCTCTTGGAAAGCATTCCCAGCTGAAGGAGGCAGCTGGAAATCATTCCCATTCCCCTGCAAAGAGACACATTAGCCCTGTCAGACACTCCCATTTGCTGTGTGATTTTCCTTTTGTTGGTTTCCCGCAGCTTTCAATGGCAATGACTTGATTAATATGACTTAATTACAAGGATTTTCCAACCCAGAAAAGCACACAGCATCTATTTTCCACATGCCATGATCAGACAGGTTAGAGGAGGAAAGCAGCTTTCACAGGTGCCAGGCGTGTGCGCAAGGCAGTTTGTTTTCTTCCTCAGACAGGACAAAGGCATCCTTTATCCCAGTCAGGAAACAGGGAAGCAGACCTGGGCGAGGCGGCCGCTGTGTTCGGGCAGGGAGACGCCAGCAGGCCTTGGCTGCGGCTTGCTCCAGGCAGTGCAAGGGCCTCTCGCTGCTCTAGGGTAAAAGCCCACCCACAGCAGCATTTGTGCAGCCCAAATTCACCCCCCACCATACTTTGCTGATGAAACACATGGATTTTGTTTCTATTTTCCCCCTTGTTCTGATTTCTCTCTGACAAATTCCTTTCTAGCCAGAACTGTGGACATGCGTACCCGACGTTTCTGGCCGTGCTTTGGTGTGCTGGCCTCCTCTGCAGCCAAGGTAACACACAGCTTCTTTCCCCTCTTCAACCTTGCACCGCTTTCAGCAAGGGGTGGTGAATACATTGGAGGTTACGCTTCAAGGGACCAAATCCTCCCTGGGAATCAGTTTCACCCCGCTATCCTGCAGCTACACATTTTAATTTAGCAGCACACGCCATGGCATGGTTTACGCCAACAGATGTGTTCCCAGACACTGTTCAGGACTGTCTGGGCCAGGGACATTTCCCATATAAGCAATAAGGATGAGAAGCCTCTGTTTTGGGTGGAGGGCTTAGTACTTGGATGCTGGACGCCATGTTATTTACACTTGGGACTGGAAATGGGCTCATTTGATTAAATTGCCAGAGCTGCTGGCCCTTCCCAGCTCTGAGGCCAGCCTAGCAGTATTTACCTGCATTTCCAAATATCGAATCCAATTTGAGTTGTCCTAAAGTTAAGATGAGTATTTCCCTTGGGTCCATGGCAATTCTTTGTGCAAGAGAGGGGGTCTTCTTGACCAGAAGAGGGGCTTTTGCCTGCAGGTGTGGGGAAAGCTAGAATTAGGGGGTAAAGAGGAAAAGCCGAAGCCCCTTTTTATGTGCTCAGAAACAAGTATTGGACCATAGTACAGTTCTCCATCTGCTCCTAGAGAAGTGCATCTATTGGATACCTTTTATTTCTGGTGAAAGCAGTGCCTGAGCCAGCACCCTCCCTCCTGAGCTCAGCATGACCCTCACTGGGTTTCTGCAGCGGGCACAGCTGTGGGCAGGATTACACCCACAGAGTCTTCAGAAACACTGGTGTGAGGGCAAGGCAAGTGCCTTTTTTCCCATATGAAGGCCTCTGTCTTGTTTCCAAGGCTCGTCCCATAGCCCAAGGCTGCAGGTTCCCATTTCCCAGACCAGCCAAGGCAGCAGATGGGGACGGGGCATACAGTGAGACCTGGCATGGTGTTTGTAACACCTCATTTTACTCTTTACCCAGCTCCTGCTGCCTTTGCCGGCCTGATGTACTTGTTTGTGAGGCAGAAGTACTTTGTGGGCTACCTTGGGGAAAGGACTCAGAGGTAAGGACATGCAGAGCCTTTTTTAAAAATCCGGGGTGTGGTTGCGGCATTGTGGGCATGGGAGCTGCAGGAACAGAGCGGCTGCTTCCGCAGCTCCTGCTCACAGCCTCTGCAAATGCACACACTGGCGTATTTGTGCTGCTATCTGGACAAGGTTATCCTTTTATATTAATAAAGCTTATTGCACACATCTGCAATAAGGTTGTCCCACAGCCTGTGATGGCTGAGAAGACATACGAGTCACTCTGAATGGTCACTTTTGTAAGCAGCAGCCTACACTGAGCACAGACCAAATCCAGACCCAAATGGATCCTAAGAAATTGCATTTAAGAGCTCAGAGTTGCCTTGCAATATAAGACAGAGCAGAAATTTGCCCCCCTCTGTCTCTCAGCCCCCAAGATCTTTCAGCTGGTCTCAACAGCAGAGTTTGGAGACTGAGGACTCCTCATGTGAGGTGATACATGTTTACTCATTGCTTTCTCCCTCTTTCTGTCTCCTCAGCACTCCCGGTTACTTGTTTGGAAAGCGCATAATTTTGTTCCTGTTCCTCATGTCCGTGGCTGGAATACTCAACTACTATCTTATCTTCTTTTTTGGAAGTGACTTTGAAATTCACATAAAAACGATAACTAGCGCGATCTCTCCATTGCTGCTCATCCCTTAGCTCCCCACAGCACTGAGGGGGTCAGCATGCTTAATATGTCAATACCCAGAAGCAACCATTATTCAACTGTTTAAGAAATGAACCCGTAACCCTTTTAGATTGCTGTAAATCTCATGCTTGATGGGTTTTGTAGTTTGATTTAACCTTGGTTTTTCCTTCAGCAAAAAGATTTATCGTGAGCGTTCGCCACGCCCAAGGAATGGTAACAACTTCCAGTTAATTCTTTAGAGTTTTT